AAAAAATACAAAAAAAAACTAAAAAATTATATACATCAAGAAATATATGTATGTATATTGCAAAATACCAATACAAATAATAATTCAATTTAATAGTTCAACAATAATATATTTCATAGTTTTAACAATTACAACAAATTACTGTACTAACTCTATGCGCAATAAATAAAATGTCGGCTTTTTTCTGCAGAGCCGCACAAGTTAAAGCGAACTATTCCTTAGTCCTTTCCAGATTGGTTGAAAGATGGAGATTGCGAATGATTCAAAGTAGTACGAAATATACTTTTTGTCATCTTTATTGCTGTTACATATTCTTGTTCTTTATTATTTCTAAAGCATATTTGATATCTATGAGTAATTATAATCTATATGACTATGTCTACATATGTATGTATGTACGTATAAGAACTTGCCTCTGGGGTTTGATCTATTTTCAGATATAGTTTTCGTATTGGCTATATCAACGGTAAAGCTAAGGGAATGCATTGTTGATTGCGCCATCAGGTCAAGCTAAAGTAAGTGTAAAGCAGCGAAGGAATGCTAATTGTAAGGCTAAATGGGCCCGCTATAAATATATATATTGTTAACAATTATTGTAAGCATTGAGTATTACTTTTCATCATTTTATAAAACGTATGAAAAAACTATGTTATTTGGCTGAATTTCAGCACTTGCAGCAAAGTTTCTGTACTGCATATTTGTGTATGCACAAGCATAAATATTTAGCTATATATTGTAAGCATGGGTGTTTCAATTTGAATTGCGTCAAAAACGTATAGCAGTAGTATTATAGTCGTCAGTGGTTATATCGCATACATGTAAATAATGTTGCAAGCGTTGTGGCTGCCAATTGAGAAACTTAACAAATTACGTATGTTGTGATGTGCGGTGCGATGTGATTTGCTGTTCAGTCTCAATGCATGCATAGAAACTGCTCCAAGCACGGGCACTAGGTGGCCGAAAGAGCACTCCACTCAAATCGTGGGTTTTTCGAGTGTGTTACAGGCAGGCAATCGGGCTCGACCAATTTCCAAACACCATCCACCTGTTCAACTGTGACCAGGCTGCAGTAGGGTATTTTGTGGATAACCTGGCGCAGCTCGTTGGTATTGCGAGCTGCACCGCCAGTCAGTTGGCGCGAGCAAGTGTCCAGCGTGGTGGCATGTGCGACAATAAGAATATTGCCAGCTGTAAGAATTACAATAACTCTATTTAATTGTCCTGTGAATGAGGATCTTTATAGATACTCACTGGTCCGCTCGAGCAGCTGCAGCAGCACTTCATGATTACGCATATAAAACTGTTCCGTTGATTCCTTTAACTGAGATGCCAAATCTGTGGCCTGCTGCACAGGCTCGTAGTTCAAGTCAATATCGTACTTGGAATCAATGAGCTCTTTGCTGCTTAACCAATCGGGCACACCATTAGGATACCACGCCATCCACTCAAACAGTCCAGGCTCCAGCTTAATTTTGTGTTTACCACTCAATTCAAGGCCCTCCAAAGCACTCGTACATGTTTGCACGCATCGGTATGAGGGCGAGCAGTACACATGATCGATTTGCACGTTTGCATCCAGTAGAGCCTCACCGGTTAGACGCGCTTGGTAGACGCCCACATTTGTCAATGGGGAGTCGTTTTGCCAGCCTTCGGGGCTGTTGCGACGATGCGGTAATACCTTCGGCATATTGAGATCTTTGCGCATATAATTGCCGAATTCATCAAAGCAATACGGTATCCAGGTACCAAATGTGAAATCCACTCGTTCGCCATGCCTCATAATATATACCTTCCGATTCTTGCTGGGCCCAACATCCAATGCGTTTGGCTGCAAGTGTGGGTGTGAATGGTCCGAGTGCACGCTGAGTGTATCATCCGGTCGGGGTGACTGCTCTGCTAGTGGCTCCACCATGATCTCATCAATGTTCTTAGATATTGAGTTGGAAGACAGATTCGCCGTTATCTCAATAGTAGGCGTGTGTTGATTATGTTGAAGAGAGAGATTGTGACTGTTTAGGAGCTGCACCGACGGCAATTCCAGGCAGGGCTGCAAGGTCTGGCGCAAGTATTTTTCAACGCTCTGCTCTGACTCCTCAAAAGAAGATCCCTCTATAATCTCCGGATGCTGTGCGACTAAAAATAAATTTTAATGGCGGAATGAAAATTTTGAAGAGCTTTGTTTCAACTTACTTTGTTGTAAGTCTCGTTGCCGCTCCTCGGGCTCTATGGATATACTCCGTCCGTCAACAATGTCAATATCTTCGGCAGAGTTAAGCGACGATGCAACACTCTTTGAAAGCTGAACCACTCGATGCAGTGTCCAGGCATCCGATTCAGCGGTGCGCTCCGTGTAATTAACTGGCAAATGACCAGTACTGCCTGTTAGCCAAGATATTCCCTCTGCCCAGCCGTCGCTCGAACTATCAATGCCTTCGCTGTTTAAGTAGATATAGTCGCCAATGCGCAGCTCCAGCTCGTCCGTTTCATGTGGATTATGGGGATAAACTACTTTCATCACCTACAATTTGTAAGAATCAATTAAATTTTCATTGTCCAGTCGATGCGAACAGTGCGTTGTGCTAACTTGTTTGGTGGCCAGTCTTGGGTCGCGGGAATACAAACGCAGCTCCCAATTGGATGCACAGCTGGCATCGAGGGTTTCCACAAGTGATTTCAGTGCATTGAATTGTGACTGCGGAAACTGATAGGCGAGCGTCAGGTGCAGGCTCTTTACGTGTGGCTCGAGTGAAATGGCTACGGGTAACAAAGTGTGTTAGACCAATTTCTAAGTCCAAACGCTACGTATTAGTCTCTACAACTATATATTGATAAGGGCGTAATTAGTATGTGTATTTATGTGCAAATTTTCCCCAAGATAATCTGCGCGTAAAAATAGCCATTTAGTGAGCAAGATAAGAGTGAAGAACGTAATTTCAAATACTAAGCATGCGAGTGTAAAAATGAACAAGGAACTAATTGGAGAGGGTTTACTCTAGCTAAATTAATGGCGCTTACATCGACTGCTGCGCGGAATGCAGCGGGTGCCCGAGGAAACTGCTCCACACCAAGGGAAGCAGGCGACAATGGCGTCCAGCTGTTCGTAAGTGTCGCTTATAACTGTGCTCCGTTACCAATATTGTTGTCCATCGCAAACGGTTAGTGTGTGTGTGCAGGCAAAGAGATAGGAAGAGAACGAAACCGTAAGCCACGCCAAAACAGAATTTAACCGAACCGAAGGCATCGGCAACAAACAGATAACCAGTTAAATAGTGCAAAACCATAATGAAAGAAACAATGCAACTGCAACCAAACAAGAGATGCAATGGGGCCCAGCATACTTGAGTTGGACACCTCCTTAACATATTGTAAAGCAAGACGTTTCAAGTAGTTGGCATCATCCTCGGCCACAAAGAAACCCATGAAGTTCTGGCTCATATATGGCTCCAATTTAATTGGGCGATCCAGCAAAGCACCAGTCATATCTACGACTTGCTTAAGTGCCTTCGATAGCTGAAGCGAGCATTCATCGGGAGCCTGGCAATAAAAAATAGAGTTTGTTTTAATGGATTTATTTATAATTTATCTGATGCTCACCTTAAAGAATGATACTAGCGTTATGTGCGGCACATAGTTGTGTGCCCCATTCCAACCACACATTTGACGTGATTTTGCCCAGAACTCCTCCAGCTGCTGCAAAAATGGTCCAGTTGGGCACGCATATATGATATACTCGCGTGGTGAGCATTCATCCAATGTCGCATCATTGACATGGGCCAGAAGCCAATCAGATGCTATCTGTACGCCTCTATTGCCGGTTGAGGCTAGAGCCTTTTCACTGTTGTGGAGTTGGGGTAAGGTACAAAAAAAATCAATAAATATCGGTGTGACGATTTCAGTTTTTTAGCGTCTACTTTTAAACAAATAGAAGATAAATCATTACGCTGATACCTACGCTCTATGCTTTGGGAATCCCATTTGCAGCAACGTCTGGAGCGGAGTCAAATGTGGCTTCATGGCTTGGCAGATACGAGTTGGTGTTTGGTTCTTGCGTGGCGGTAATGTTGCCATGTTTACTTTTATTGCGATATCTTAAAGGAATACCCACTCCACACACTCAATTTGTTGAGAATTACACTCTGTGTTTTATTTATTGTTCTGGCTAAAATTGTTACAATCTATTTTGTTTTTCGTTATGGCAGTGTGACCAATAGCAAGTATAATTTTAATATGTGTAAAGTTAGAGCTGGTAGTGTTGTTGATATTCATATGCCTGCTATAGTTTGCTTTTTAACATCGGATTGTATGATTTGGATTATAAATTATAATTTTCGAAATGAGATGGAATTAATATAATTCATTTAGAATCAACAAATATCACATGTTAAAAGTGAAAAATTACAAATACAAAGATTTGTAATCGGAATGAGAATGCCTCTGCAATCGAAAAGCAATTTCTTAAAATGTTAATTTGAAGTGCTCTGTTAACAGAATTGTAAATGCTCATCGGATATCGGATAGTCGCGATATCGATTAATTAGTTCATATTGACCAAAATTTGTAGAAAACAAAAAAAATTAACTGCGTAGTTCAGTAGAAATAAATTGCGTTTAAACAATAATAATACGTTCTAATAAAGTAAGTCGATCTAAATGTGCTTGTCATATATTGTAAATTAAGAAATCCAACGCTGCTTGAGACGAAAACTCATTGAAAAATAGTGTTACGCAGCAGCAACGGTATGGAAAATGCCAGTGGAGCTCAAACAGAGAAAAACATACATACATGTACATATAAATACTCATGTTATTGTAGTAGTGCGCAAAAACAAGTCATTTGTGGGTCTAACACGGGACGGGTGGAAAGATATGATGGCAATTTTTTTCAGTTTTGCACCATTTTGTTTGTAGTTGTGTTTATTGTAATTATTTTCAATGTTATTCAGCATCCTTGCATTGATAAATATGGGCGTTTTCCTTCAACTATTTATTGTTTATTATGTTTTTACAGCCTGCATAACTTGCTTTTGCGAGTGTACATTGTGAATTTTGGTTCATTTAAATACACCACATCTTCTTTGTTGTCATCATCACTTTCTCCGCTGCGCATACTTCCTATCAGTCGTATTTTATTTTATTATCGCTTCCATGCGGGCTTCCGCACACCCCTCGTCTACTTCCGTGTACTCCGTTCAACGGTCATTGTTCAGTGTTCATGAGTCATTTGCATAGTGTAAAATCAGAATTTATCATTTAATCATCGACATGCCCATGTTCAAGCTCATGTCCATGCCAATGCTCCCATTAAAGCTCAATTTCGGCTTGTGTTGCCGTGCTGGTAATCCGAGGTGTTCGAGATAAGCGTGTAATTAGATTAAGTCAAATAAGTTAAAAGTATATTTTTAACTAACAGATCGATATAGAATATTTAAAAGCTAATAGGAGGAAACATCGACATGGCCACCAGAAAGAAATCTTTGTTGAAAGTTATCATACTGGGCGACAGCAGCGTTGGAAAGACGTCGCTCATGAATCAATATGTAAACAAACGATTCTCTAATCAATATAAGGCAACGATCGGAGCGGACTTTTGTACGAAAGAGGTTGTTGTTAACGACCGAGTAGTTACAATGCAGGTGAGCAAATAGCCATAATTATAATTTTGTTTATATATAAATGGTATGCTGAATGCTTGGTCTACTTCCTAGATTTGGGATACGGCCGGCCAGGAACGCTTCCAATCACTTGGCGTGGCCTTCTACCGCGGTGCGGATTGTTGTGTCCTTGTCTATGATGTGACGGCTCCCAACTCATTCAAGAATTTAGACTCGTGGCGAGATGAATTTTTAATACAGGCCAGTCCACGGGATCCAGAGCATTTTCCCTTTGTCGTACTGGGCAATAAAGTGGATTTAGATAATCGCCAAGTGAGTATACAAATAATTTGATAAAGATCATAATATCCGAGGAAATAATTTAGCAAACCTGTATGTATATATAGCTAATGGCCGACGCACGCTCTAAACCGCATATTGTGTTGCTCAGTATTTATACATCAGATTTGCAAAAGCTTATTATTATATATTGCAATCCAATACAACTATTTTGTTTATATTAAAAGACTTTTCTTAAGAGGTTTATATAGGTCAGAGTCTATTTGTTTATTTATGCAAAACTTGTTTGATTGTTTCAGGTATCTACGCGCCGTGCGCAGCAGTGGTGCCAATCGAAAAACGACATACCCTATTATGAGACGTCAGCAAAGGAGGGAATCAATGTTGAGATGGCGTTTCAAACCATAGCTAAGAATGCTCTGGAACAGGAGGCGGAGGTATGTTTTGAACCACTCTTGAATCAAGAGCCAAGTTATATCTCTCGTTATTTTCAGGCTGAACTTATAAACGATTTCCCCGATCAACTACGCTTGAACTCTGAAAACAATCGTCCCAGCAACGCTGACAATTGTCAATGCTAATATTACTATATGTTATGATGAGCTGCAGCAAAAGAATACAACGCAACGTGCATAATTACACAATCTACATTATAAATAATATACATAACAGAAAATGAGTATGAAAAGCTAATATGATGAACAACAGCAAGGTTATAAGTTTAAGTAAAACAATTTGAGCGACAGCATAGGTATAATAATATGATAGAATGCTAAATTGTGTGTTTACCAATCATTTAAATAACTTTTACATATTGTGCATGCCCTCCTAGTACTATTTTGTCATTAGTAAAATTATAGCACGCAACCGATGCTGCCGTTGCAGGAAACAAACATCAGAATCACCAATAACAAATTATCTTGGAACACAAAAAAAAATTCTTGTGATTGTAAATTTAATAAAAAAAAAAAAATATACATTTTTATTGTAATTAATTTTATAAACTATTCAGAACATTCGATGCGATCGGCACTTTATTGGCTCAGTTCAGCCCCGCTCTCAAAATTAATAAGTTTGAGCAAAAAATTTAAGAAATTCATTTCGTAAGGCCTAGAGTATTATAAATTGCTTCTGTTTGGTAATACATACACAACTTTCGTGTATACTATATATTATGTAATTTTCATATACTTTTTATTTAACATCTCCATGCCTTTGGTTTAATTTGTATAATAAACAATGCTAAAATCTACAAACATTGGATTGCTCTAAACTCATTTTGTGTTGGAGAATGAATGAATGTGTAGCAACATTTAATGTTTATAGGCACTTTTTATAGGGGTAAACTTTTTATTATACTATAGTTATATAGTTCGTTCACATGCCAAGAGGTTTTGAGCTTCGCCTTCAGATTGTATATTTATTTACTTGCTGAAGGAAATAAATTGAAAACTAAAAATATTTATTCTGGCAATGAAAAACTAATATCTTTATCTTAAATCAAAATTCAGATATTTATAAATAATGCGTTGTGTCCTCAGTATTCATGTACCGAAGTCTTCCGAGTTTAGTTTTAAAGAAGGCTCCAAATTTAATGCATCTTAATCAGATTGATTTTATAATTAAAAAGCTAAATCTTTCCAAGATCTTATTAATTATTTAATACTAGCTGGCCCGGCAAACGTTGCATTGCCCTCTATATTATTTCTAGGTAAAAAATTGTTGAAAGCTATGTTGTTCAGGTTGGGATACACTGTGATTAATTTATTAAATGTCGGATTATATCCGTCTCCAATAATTTCCGCCACAAATGAAGTCATTTGGAAACAGGCATTGTATTTTTGAGTGTTCGCTAGAAAATGTCGTGATTCTAGTGTTTCGCCATAAAGCAGGGAACGCAATGGCTCTGGTGGCGGGACCACTAATGGCAATGTCACTTTACCACTAAGGCAGCACAAACCGGGCGTTTCACCAGCAAACTTCAATGCGCCACAATGCTGGCAAACAACGTCCATTGGACCAATGCAAACTAAACGATTCAAGCTGTA